TTATTAGGGTTTAGTGGCTTTGGTCTGGCAATCTGGAAACCTGCTGCAAAGGTAGAATGCCACAGGCTGAGGCCCACCTGAGACTGAGGGTGTGTGTTTCTTGGGAAAGCCAGGGTGGAGGTGCTGGCTGACTGTTGGTCTTCAACCCCTTTGTTCAAGTTTTAGCTTGGCCCTCTGGATTAAATTGAGGTGGGCAGCAGAAACCCAGCAGAAGAAGTGCTTCAACAACCACAGCCCACCAACCCCCACCACAACCTAAAGTCACCAGGGGCCCAACCTCACCAACAGCAAATACACCATCAAACCAGGCCTTCTTAGTGTTTATTAGGGTTTAGTGGCTTGGTCTGGCAATCTGGAAACCTGCTGCGAAGGTAGAATACTACAGGCTGAGGCCCACCTGAGACTGAGGGTTTGTGCTGCTTGAAAAGGTAGAGGTGCTTGGCCGCCTATACTGTAGTATAGTTTAATTAAATTGCCAGGGGGCCAACCTCGTGAACAACTATCTGAGTGCCACCCCCTGGCACCTAAATAAATAAAGTTCAGGCCCGACCCTGAAGCCTGGAAGTCAGGGTATGTTACCAAGACCTCGAATTGAATAAAGTTCATAGGTTCTTATGAAGAAAGTTGCCTCAAACTCCGCACTTTTATTATTTCGGTAGCAAGGGCTATTTTTCAAAACCTACTGATGGTGAGCGGTGACCGTGGGTTTTCTCACATGGCCGTGGCCGTGGCCGGATGGCCAGATGAATGAATCACATCAACTGTATCTGCTCATAGTTTCTATGGTGGTTGCCACAGGGATGGAAGAGAGCAAAACAAATTTGTATACATGTGGGCGCAGTGTAACCGATCCATGCATTCAAACAGAATGACAGCGATGAATTGTCTCAACGGTTTTCTCACAAAACCGCGCCTTTTCTGAAGAACCTTCGAGCCACTGATCACAGCGGTCACACACTGATAAGAACAGATACTACGCCCGGTCTTCTTGACTGCACATGTGCGTGTGTCATCCTTGCTGCAGGGGACCATGCTAATTATCTTTCGTCACCCCGCCCTAGGAACATCCAGCTTCATGGGTTCCTACCTTTACATTCTCTCTGTGAAACTCCAAGTGGTTTCGCTCTCTCAATCCTGCAAGTCATTCTCCTCATCAAAATTCCGAATTCGACCATTTTGGTCATTGGTGTCTTCACCATCACGCTCATCTCCACCTTCTCTGTTCTCGTCTTCATTCTCCACATTCGTTGGGCCATAGTGGATCTCTGCCCATAGATCTGGGCCCTCACTCTCTTCCTTCGGCCTCTCAGACCCACTCTGTCCATTGGGCCCTCACTCATCTCATCTTCTTCTTCGCCTTCTCCATCTTATCGCTCGAAGGGGTTCGGTTCGACCTCCTGAGCAATTGCTCAGCAACCAAGTCAGACAGACTAGGTCGAAAAATGTTCAACGCTGTTGCTGAAGCTGATGCCGGATCCTCTGTCGATGAACTTGCTGTTGGATTAGAATCCGAATTTCTGTCTGCTGAACTAACTCGGCTCTTCATTCAACTCCTCTTGAACTTCTTCCTCAACTTCTTCGCATTTCTTCGCCTTCTATCTCAACTTCGCTGTACTGTCCTTCATCTGGCGCCTCCATCTTGCACACGCCTTCTTCGCGAAGCACAACTGCGGGCCTTGCTGTTGCTTCCTGATCTCCATTCTCATACGCAGACCTGCCTCCTGCAATGTCTCCATTGCTCTTGTTGGTAACTGGTTTCCTTGGAGTGCGATGTTGATCTGAACTTTCGTGGCCTGAGCTTCTCCCCCATATGTAGCCATCTTCATCAACTCTTCCGTCTCCATAATCATTCCATCGGTCTTCTTCATTTTCATCATCACCATCACCTCATCTGGAGGATTGTCTGGATCATCATCATCATCCTCTTCTTCGTCTTCTTCAAGCCTTAATGGATCTTCGCTTCACTTCAAAGCCAGTCCTCTCCTTATTATCTCCCTCCAAGCAAACCTGCACCTTGCCAGTTGAATCCTCATGTTGCGCACCCTGTACACCATCAATGCTATCACGAAAAGTCAACACTGTTGCGCACAACACGCAAATGCTCCACATGCTGCTAACCAGTGTCCTCTTCATTCCATCACAGGTGTCATCAAATTGACTGCAACCTTTCAGCATGCCTGAAACCAGCAACATCTGCAAAATTCGCTGAACGCTTGGCAGGCTCAGTCACTATGGAGTCCAATGAGTCAGGCTAGGCACTCTCTTCTTTCTCTTGTCAACAACTTCGCGTTCAAGTCTGCAGGCCTGTCCTTTGCTGCAATCCTGCCAATCTTGCACCAGCCTCTCCTCATCGCTTCTTGGCCCCACAAAATGCGGGTGCGTAGATGCTTTGCTCTCCCTGGGCCCAATCTCTGAAGAAAGCCTGGCTGAAGCCGAATTCAGGTAGAGTTTCATCTCCACTCAGCTGCCATCTCCTGGGTCCTGCTTGCACCCCAGAACAAAACTGAAGCGCTTGCTTCAAGGAAATGCTCTCAGCCAAAAGGCTTGTGGCCGCTAGCACTTCTGCCTCCATCGATGAGAGTGCGATGGAAGCTTGCCCTCTTGAATGGGAGTGGACGCAATTCCCATCGCGGAACACCAAACCTGAGCTCGTGCTCCTCCTGCTCGAACGCGACGATGCGCAACGCTCAAGTGCTTCCACCTGCTAAACACGCTTGTTTGGCCTTCACTTGTCTCATACCTCAAAGCCATGTCCTGCGTCGACTGTAACTAGGTCGTCAGCTTCTTGATCGCTGCCATTGCTGTCTTTGTTGGAGTTGCTATGTATGATGACAGCAACCTTACACTATGTTGTACGCCGATCCTCTCCTGACTTAAGTACAAGGCACAGCTCCAATGCGCTCCTGAACAACTTGCTGTCAGCATGGCCTGCTGATCTAGCACCTGTAGCTCTTCAGGGCTGACCTGTGGCGGTCCTCCACCTTCATCGAAAAAGCCTCGCTTCTCCATCTCCTCTTTGGTCAACACAGCATCCGACTGCGTTGCTTGCGGCTGCTGCCAATCGATGGCATCATAGCCTTCACCTTCAACTTCTTCTTCTTCTTCTTCCAGCTCTAACTCCTCCACCTGACGGATCTGCCTCTCTTGGTCTTGACTTTTCTCATGAGGTGTTGTGGAAGATGTTGTTCTTGCCGCTGTAGGGCTAGGTTCCGGCACAGGTGTATCTGGATCAAAATGAACTGTTTTTGCCACACCACCTTGACCTTGATCTCCTTCTGCCTTCTTCTTCTTCTGGTGGGAATGGTCATAGCGACTTTCTGTTGCCTCTCTGCAATCGCTGACTCAACCTCTTCGACTGGTCTCTTCACGGAGGTATGAACTCCTTCTGAAGAAGATGCTCCCGCTGAAGCTGTTGGCGCTGAAGCCTCTTCCACTAGCGCAGCAGGTAAGGATGCTCCGCCTTGCTCTTGTGCTTCATCCACTTCACTGTACTTCTTCACATCCTCTGCATCTCTACAGTATCTGTATCTGGCTTTTCTTTCTGCTCTCTCCCTCTCTCTCTCTCTCTCTCTTGGCGGCTTCGGCGGCAAATCACTCAACAGCTCTGGTGTTGCCATTGGCTTTGTATCGACTTTGTATGAACACCACGCTTCATGTCCAATGGTCCAGCCTGGGCGTTCATCAGAAGCTCCCCATCCCATTGCCCACCTGTCTTCCTCACTGCGTTGCATCTCACTATCTCGCTTTCGTTCAGCAAGACCAAATCTTGATCCATCTGATCTTTGCCCAAGCAAGCCCTTGGCCTCCATTGGGACTTGTATTTGCCCTGTAGAGGATCCAAGCCCTGCACTGTCTCGCCAAAGCAACAAACACGTCCCTTCACAGACAAGTAGGCTGCCATGCCTGTCGCACTGATCGCATGGTACCTGTTCAGCAACCAGCATGCTTGAATGCCCATGAGTGCAACACGTGCATCTCATCAAAGATGATCTTTGCTCTGTCCTAGACGTGGGCAATGATCGTCGTGGCTTGTGCTCTCACCGTCTGAATGCATCTCTCAGCCAATGATGTTCTCGACTTGTCATACAATTTGCCAGCCTGCAGAGTTGTGCGCAATCCATTGTTGTTCCTGATCAACTTCGCCATTCTTGCACCTGCAGCTAACACTGGTTCATTGTCGAAAACAAGTTCCACGGTTTCATAGTGGTCAAGTGTTGCCAAAAACTCGGCAATCACTTCGCCAATCACTCCTTGGCTCTTGTTCTTCAAAGGCTATGTG